TACAAATAAAAGCCAATGTATTATCTCAATTGATCTTGATATTTTAGACTGACCGGAGGCCGTATTTCTACAGGGAGCAGGCCGCAAAAGTGAAGTAAGTTTGTTTGATGTTTGGGAAACCGAATGTTTTGAACATCACCAGTCGGTTGCGGGGGTGTCGCCAGCTGAAGCCATGGAAGCCAGTAGTAGCTCGTCTGTGGTCAGTTTATCTCCGTCGCCTAGTAGCGTCATCACCACAGCAACCGCCTCATCATCAACCCTGGCGAGTATAGATAACGTATCTGCGTCGCCCATTTCCGTACCCTTGACATATAAAAGTATAAAGTTAAAGTTCTGTAACTGTAAGAACCAACGTCGATTTCGTCGACCTCGCACCGTATCTTCATCTCCCAAACGCATACATAGTCCCAATGTAATAAGCCGGGCCTCCACATTAGACTCTATGCATAAACGTACTCTTAAGCAGTACGCAAATTATAAACGTACTCTTAATAGTACGAGGAACTTAAGTTTCCTAAATGTACTCTTAATAGTACGATGAACTTAAGTCTCCTTAATGTGCTTTTAATAGTACGAGGAATTTAAGTTTCTTAAAATGGGTTTTAATGGTTTTATTAATTAAATCCTTTCCATTTAACATATCAGATATTTAGATGAGGCCATTAAAAGGCCTCCGTAAAATACCAAACATAAAGGAGTTGGTCTAGTTCTATTAATAGAGCTTTATTTACTTTCCAATTGTATTTATATCTGAATACTTCGGTAGCGAGATGGCTCAACCGAATATAGGTTTCTAGGGACTATTAACGTTACCTATTTGATCCACCGATAAGCCAACCAGATGTGCCAGTCTGATGAAGGCTAAGTCGGTCATTCCTGATAGTAGCAAGTTATTGGTTAAGACAATAACTAAAGACGTCAAGAGTATTTTTATTTTTATTTTATTTTTCTAAAGATAAGATTTTATGAGTCTATCGGATTCGCCCCAGAATAGAGCGACAACGAAACACTAAATAAAATCCCTTCGGCGAAAACAGTACTGAGAGGATTATATATAGGCAATGTCTCAGCCTCACAATCCCTCAGAGTATTGCTGTTTTCACGAGGCAAACCTAACTTTAGTAAAAGTCTCATTTCGTTTATTTATATCGATATTTACACGATATATAGAATTTACCTACGCGTTTATTTATTCTAAGGCATTAGTATCGCCTTTATTAGACCGAATCTTACAACCAGCAACCATCTTCATTTCGCTCCACAATCTGTCCAATTGACATACACAATTGCACACGTACTAGTATACAGCTTCGGCATCCATTTTACATACCTTTACGTTAATATCACTTTTACTACGCACGAAACTTACAATATGTAATAGAATTTACAATTTTATTCAATATTAATAAAAGCTACATCACAAACTATAGTCTTACTTCAATTCAATCACTGATGTCCTCTATTGCATTGCATACATGCATAGCACATGTAACCAAACTATAGTCCTACTTTAATTACTTTGATGACTTTACCAACGGTCCCATGTTACCCTTGTATTCAATATTATTAAAACATATAATAAAAATATGAAGTCTCACTTCAATCAGATGCCACCAGTTCCCCTCCTCAATCACCAATATCCTCCATTGCATTGCACACATGCATAGCACATCCAACCTGTTCCGGTCCTCAATGGACTGGCCTTCAAGAATACAGTCTTATATTCTACTTACGAAGTATTATACATTCCTTTCCATACACTGTTCACATCACCTGCACTCCTCATATGAATAACCTCATGAACTCCCCAACATACAACTATATATTCACCTAACATGACCATTTTTCACTCACACTTATCAATACCTTGCTATTTGGCCTCATTTCATGCTTTACACTTCTCAAAGTTCACAGTTTTCCTAATAGATGCAAGCATCAATCATGCCATCATTATTCTTGTTCACTCCCTTTTTTTTTCACAACTCCCAAACCTTCCAAATCCTAATTTTCTTTCCACTTCAAATTTACTTTTTCAATTTCAATTTTTTTTCCCTCTTCAATTTTTCCTTTTCAATTCAAAATCATGAAAATTTTTTTATCTACAAAGGTAGCGCTTTCAGTCCCCAAGTCGGAGACTTGTTTTATTTTATTTTTTGTTTTCAAAATATGTGGAAACGACAATACAAGTTGTCTATTCGTGTGCGAAATTTACGTAATTATGCGAAATACATATATGTACCTTACCGTCCTCGCCCCAATCACCGCACATGAAGGGAAAAAGAATCGATGAACGTAAGGCGGTTCCAAATCGATTTTTGTTTCTGCTAACATTTACCCCCAAAAAGGTGGGAGGCAGGCGCCCATACTCTATGCCCTTCTCCAAGCCAGTTCCTACCAAACCAGATATATTTTTCAAGAAAAAAAAACAAAAATTGAGTTTGGGCCCCAAAACCCTAACATTAATTTCGGGCCTATACCAAATTCGGTAGTAAAATTTTAGTAGAGTATAGAGCCAAATCAGCAAAAGAATAAAGAAGCAGGCAGGGGATAGCAGAAACAAAAATCGACTTGGAACCGCCTAAATAAAAAATCAAAATACAATTCATTCATTCAAAACAGAATACAATACGTAGATAATAAACATTTGGTACGATTTGCAAAATTTACGCATACGATGTATAGCATAATCAAGAGCTTACTACAATCGCACAGGTGGCCAATGGCTAGTCTGGCCCTGGTCACGACAATGGGTTTGGCGACCATCACGATCGGTGTAGCAAGGAGTTGATTCACGGACCTCTTTTATCATGTTCGATCCCCTTTCGTCTTTCAAAACAAGTACAGAGGCGTGCGACAGAAAGTTTGGTTCATGTGGGACGGTGCCGTATTTATATTGACCATTTAAAAACTCATCCGTAGACTCGCTGATTTGGGACAATCCTTCAACATCTACCAAGCTACCGCCTACACATTTTTCAGAATTAGTCGGAGATGCGTTCACAAAAAGCAATAGTGACTGGAAGACATTCTATAGCGAGCTGAAAGCCAAGAAAATAGTAGCACTTAGACGTTCTCAATTAAGCGAGCAGTTATGCTATATCAATCTTGATAATATTTCATATAGAAACGGTAAGACTGGTGAACAGCCATTGTACGCTAGAATTGCATTTGTTGCTTACTGAACGATCGCGACTGGGCGCATTTTGAGTTTACACCTATTGGGGGAGCACCGACTGTGAACGAAGACGCGTATGTTACTTACCCATCGAAAGGGATTGTTGTAATAGAAATTCCCTGTCTCGGAATTGGCGGTGAATACCTTGTATCAGCATATTATCAAGCACCCAATTGCCTCGGCAGTACCCACTGTTCTGGAAGGTACGCAATCGATAGTGTTTATCAGTTTCCTTTAGCAAACGTAACGATTTCGATTGCTGGAAACTCTAAAAGCACGGACGACGCTTATGCTTGCCAACTGATATCGATTAAAGTGCCGATCGGGTTGGGGTTTTGGAGCCACAATAAAAAAAGTGTGGAACTCTTACTGCAACAAAACTTCACCCGCACTTCCCATTAAGGATGAAAGCACTATGCTGCACCTGGTAGGAGACAGTACCATGGAAGAACTTGTAAGTGCGCTTGTTGTCAATGGTACTCTGAAAGGTCACGCCGGTTGCGGCGGAAACGAAAAGGCTTCTGAAAGACCTTGTCACAGTTATTACACGGGCACTTCACGAGGAGTTGCTTTTACGTTTACCTTGATAACAGAGTCATCTGGCTGGAGAACGAAATATAAAGATCCACAGATCGGGAACACAGTGGCACCCTGGAACTCAGCGAGCCTTCTCGAAACCTGTACATTCATCACAAAAGTACGAGAACAGTCTTCAGTTGAAACAAGGCACATTGTATTATTCAATTTTGGGCTGCACGGTGAGTCCAACCACGGGTTTTTTCGTTTGGCTTACGAGCAAGCTCTCGTCTCTTTACAGAAGAATCTAGGGCATTTTGCAGGTATAATTGCCGTCGGAATCTCCCCCTCGAATCCAGCTCGTAAAACCTATAAAGGTATGGATTGTCGGTCGGAAGTAAATGTAGCCAATGCCCGAGAAATCATCGAATGTGTAGCAAGCAGACACGGCATCCCGGTTTTGGATAGAACGCTGATGCAATTCGGTCTTTAGTCATTGTACAAAGACTATGTGCATTTGGGTTCCACCAGAGATGCGTATGAATTCGCCACTTCATTGTTGATGAATTTGTTCGAGCTGCAGTCTATATTGCACGTGCCTCGGAACTGTGACAGCCGTGACAGTTGTCGCTGTGATAAAGGCCTGAGACTGAAGATGTAACGCAATCGCCGTTGAATTTTAGCCATGAGTCATCGTTGATTGATTTTTCAAAATAAATGTCAGAAACAATCAAAATGCAAGCGGGTAAATAAAGATGTGCCTTCTATTTAACTGATATGCACTATTTTTAATATTCTTGCATTGGCAGATAACGTAGTTACGAATAGTGTATACTGGTCTCATATGCTATTCAACTTATATACGGGTGCGTAGAAATATATACATGCTGTAAATATCTTGCTTTGAGAAGGAGGGTCGAGGAAAATGGCAGAATTTCGACAGGTTTGTATTTGGGCTTTCCAAGTTATCTTATGCGTGTAGTTATTTCGAGTGTTGCTGAAATATCGACAACGTGCAGGCCAAAATATACAACAATGGAAGTTGAATAATTAGTACAACAATTAGATATATGTGGCAGCTACAGTAGTATCGCAGCACTATGAAGCGGGATGAAACTTGCCTTATCATATATATATATATATATATATACATACACACATACATACATACATACATACATTCATACATACATACATACATACATACATACATATATATATATATATATATATATATGTGTGTGTGTATAATTATATATATATATATATTATATATATATATATATATATAGTGTGTGTGT